AGGAGGGCACTGCATGGGCCTTACTGAGTGAATCCAGCAAGTGGAAGGCTGATGGCGATTAACCAATATGAGGCTCCCTGGCAGCATTTAAAACACTGCCGTCTGCCACAGCCAGGGTGGGGGCTGAAGCTCAAACCCGTGACGTAACGACAGAGGTCTGAAAGCTCCTGAGGAGGTGTAATTCTAAACGTGTTTCGGCTCCTAGGCCGTGACCGGAGGCCTGGACTGGAAGGCATGGGCCTTGGCGTGGGCACGGGAACATCTGAAGAACTCTGCAGTTTCCGCACCCGGCAGCCCATGGGCCTGCAGACCGGCCCGGCCCCGCTTCTAACCACGCGTCTTCCTCCTCGCTCACCGGAGCCTGCTCTCCGACAGCACATGCCGCTGCCGCCGCCACCGCCTGCCTCGCCTCCAGCTGTCAGACCCGTAACCAGCACGAAGTCACAGCGATGGGCTGGAGGGGAGACCACACACCAACAAGAGCCACCGGTTCCACGCATCGTGCCGAAGCGGGTCCCGAAGGCACAGCCGAGAGGGACAACACGCAAAGCTGGGGAGTGTGAGCGGGAGGGAGGGAGACGCTCCCGGGACCCACATTCAGCACGTGGTCAGGCCCCGGGAGACGGTGCTCACAGGGGAGGCGAGTCTCAGAGAACAGCGAGGCCCCTACGGAGCCGGAAATGCCACAGCTGCCCTGGCAGATGACAGAGGACGCACAGAGAGTGGACACTAGATGGACGTCCCGTGCGAGGCTGGCGAGGGTGACACTGACTGTCTCCAGAGGACCCTCTGCTTCCGGAGGGGCCAGGAATGGCCTGGGGGTGGGGGGGTCTCACTCTCCACACCAGGGCTCTGGCACCTTTGAGAAGCTCTCGGTGGTTGTCCTCTGGGGTAACAGGAGGGGGTGCTGTACACCTGAGGTCCCTAACACTGATGGGGACCAAGTCAGTATAACGGAGGCCAGGTGGCAGACCCTCACTGCCAGAAGCCAAGTGGGGGCGGTACAATGAACTGCACGTCTGCAATGTTAGCGAGTGCAGCCGGGCCCTCCGCGAGCTGTGGAGGGAGTCAGGGGAATAGGCCCCCACCGAGGCCTGAGGTACAGGGACACACAGCAAGGGCATTTCCCAGGCTGTACCTTTAAAACAGACCAGGAGACTCGTATCTATGAAAGGGTGCATTCACTGCACTGACAGACTGTGATGAACATAGAATAAGGATGCTTGAAAGGATGCTTAGTGAATAATAAGCGCTTGATAAATGTCACCTGTTAGTATAATGTTATTACTGTGCCAAAGCGTGTGCTTTTCCATGGGTTATAGCCCATGCTGTTGTATGTTTTCACTGTTTTCTAAATTTCTGTGTTAAAATAAATTGGCAGCAAATGTAATGTAAGATGTGAACATTCAGAGAAGCTAGGTGAAGACTACATGGGAACTCTATCCTGTCTTTGCAACTTTCCTGTAAACCTAAATTTATTCCGTAAGAAAAAGGGAAACATTTAAAAGCAGGCAACCAGCCTTGTTACTCTCATTTTAATGCACATTCAGTGAAGCATCACAGAGCGGAGCACACACACTTACCGGAGCGCCCTGCGGCCCCAGCCTGCCTCGCTCTCCCGGCATTCCCCTGGGACCCTGGAGATCAGAGAGAAAACATCCCCTGAAGCATCGAATGGTCGAATGTAAACTCGAGACAACTTGATTGCCCTCCTCAAAACAACTGGGACCCCATGTACTTGGCCACCAGCAACAGTACCTCTTGGGGTTCGAAAAACTCTACCCACCACCTCTTACCTAGATGGACCTCAGTTACTCTAGTTAATGGGCTGCATCTCACATCTGATTCGATCACTGAGCACAGAAAAACAATAGTACCCAGGGCGCTCACAGGTAAGGAAAATACTGAAATGTAAGACTTTCCTACTTGAAGGACGCAATTGTTGGAGTGTGCTTGCCTATCAGGTGATAAGCAAGGTGACTTCACTAGCAAACGTTATCAGGTCTTTCTGTTTGTTTCATTTAAACATTCTCTTACTAAAATCTAAAAAGCAAGTAAATAACAAAGAATTAAACGGATACTCACCATAGGACCCATGGCACCCATTGGGCCAGTAGGACCGGCTTCACCCTACAGCAGAAATGACATCACATGACAATATGAGGAGCCTCCATCGACAGTCACATCATTTTGCTCCACATGCGTATCATTCTAAACACGTATTTTCAAAACGGGCATTTGAAGGGCATTCGAAGGACCTCAAAAGTCTATTGAATTACTTTTTCTCAAAATGCAATAAAAATTCCCTTCCTACAGAAATAAGTCTAAAGTAAAATTGGGGATTTAAACAAGATTGATGGGACTATCATCCACAGTCACATTAATTAGCATCAGGACTACCTATGTCTAATAATACTTTAGGCTTTGTATAACTTCACCAAGTAGACACTGACTGTAGCATTTCTTTAAGTTCTGGAATAGGAAACTTAGAAATAACAAATGTGAAGGCAAATGTCTTTGCACATGTGACTCTCAGGGGACTTCCCCCTAAAGGGTCCTCTGCAGTCCTGCTGCTCTCTCTCCCTCTGGGAACACAAGTAAACGTGGGGAAGAACAAGGGCCCGAAGGCCCAGAATTAAAGGCCGCTAAATGGCGGGGAAAACGGACCACCTGACCTCTGTGAGGGTGAGAGAAGAAGAGCGAGTGTGTTGGAAGGTGGATGATGGTGCCACATGTCATATGGACACGGTCTCCATCCTACACCGGGAGGGGCCCAGAGCCACAGTGGCTGTTCGTGGTGGCAAGGCCAGGGCTGAGCATGTATCCCGGTAAATCTACCGCCACTCGTCTGTGAAAAGGTACGTTTATCTACTTAACTGCTCGCTGTCTATACTCCTCTTCCCCCCAGAGTGACTGAGGGGTTCTGGAAGGCGATTAGCACTTGACACACAACCAAAATGCTACCGTGAGGTCACACTGAGGCATCAACAATCACCTTGGAACCGGTTGCTCCAACTTCACCTTTAGGGCCTTCAAGACCTTTATGTCCCTAAAAAGAAAAATACAAATTTGCATTTTACTGTTTTTTTCTTTGCAGATGCGTAAAAGCAGCAAACATAAGCTCACAGAAAGTGCCTGATGAAAATGGACCTCAAATTTAAAGTTGTTACTCAGAATGTTTCCAAATTCTCAACATTTTTAAAAAGTCTCTCCAAAGAATATTAGTTTTCCCCTTTAAATAATGTTTTCAACAAGCAATGTTCTAACCTTTCATATTTTTTTTACTTCATAGAAATTTAACCTATAGCTATAGATAAAGAAGTTACAAGAAAATAAATAGTTATAGAGTTTAAATAGTTATCAAATATGGGTTATATCCAGGGATAATATTCAAATTATCTAATAACTAGTGATTCGCAAGTATTCTAATCAGACATTCAACCCCTCAAAACAGAGGCCCGTCAGAGTATACTGAGTAAATACCAGCCAACCTTTCAGGTAAATAGATAGATAGATAGATAGATAGATAATTTCTATACAAGACGGGGCAAAAGTAGGTTTAAGTTATCTGAATGGAAACGAATACAATAATTGATAAATAAGAAGGCAGGAAGTAACTGTGTTTTACGTCCTCAGGCTGCAAGCCTACTTTTGCCCACCTGTATAGGTACATGGTATAACGGCTGTGCGTTATCTGGAGTTATAAAGAGAGGAGCATCCTACAGCCTCCACGTCTGGGCTGACGGGCCCTAGATTAGCGCCCTCGCCGGGTCTGCACTTATTCCTCTGTGTGGCAGTTGCCTATTTTCCTAACCGAAGCCCTCTGAGCCTGAAGCTGAAAGCCATGGAGGCTCCCGTTCATCGCCGTCTTCTCCTGCAGCACCGTGTTCAGTGCGCGGTAAGACTCACAGTGTGTCTACAGGCTCAAGTGAAATGCAGAAGAAATGGAAGAGCCGGTCCCTTTAGGGGCCTCGGAGGCTGCTCAACCACAGCCATGGCAGACACTGAGACGCGGGCTTGTCCAGCTTTAAGGCAATGCCCCCAGACCCTGCCCAGCCGGCCCAGCCTCTGCAAGGGTTGACTTACGCGGTGGCCCTTCAGGCCTGGCAGCCCGGGCGCCCCGGGAAATCCTCTGGCTCCCTGTGGGGGACACAAGGCATTTCAGGGTCACTAATAAGAACAGGAAATTGCTTAATACACATTTTCCCTAAAAAAATGCCTGGTACATAGTTTTCCACCAACAAACCAGAGAAGGAAAAGGAGCAGTATACGTTTACCTATCGAAATACACGGAGGGGATCAAAGATTAAAACTGTCCGAAATGGAAGCATGACTGACAGCGACATCGGTTCATGCCAGGTACTGACTTGATGACATTTTCAAGATTTCAAATTACATCACTGTGTTATTAATAAAACAAGCAAAAACAAACAACAAAACAGCCTCAGTCACATATCTAGTGTCTGACCCAAATAGGTCAGTGACAGGAAGGAAAGCAGGAGGAAAACTGTGATTTTCTTCCTTTCATACGCTTTGGGGTGAAAGAAAAAATGCATCTGTAGCAAACCAATGTGTTTTAGTTTCCCTACCTTTTAAATATCGAGAGTGAGATATAAGAAAGATTATATTAAAATGAATAAACAGAAAATATTTTAAAGTAACATAGAAAGAAGCTGGTGGGTTGGTAATTGTTTAAAAAACTAACCAAGGAAATAAAATATCCAACAGAAAGGAAAGTCACAAATACAGAAAGAATGAGCTGGCTCAGGAATTTCTTAATTTCTGTTCATTTTAGGCGCCCTTTACCTAAGCATATCGATTTTTTTTTAAAAAGGGAAATCATACAAAAAATTAAATGCAAATGGTTAAGACTTTTGAAATGATGCTTGGAACTGTTCCCTCAGACTCTCTTACAGCAGAGAAGGACCGGGGACTGGCTCGCTCACTCTCACTGCCTGTGTTAGACTGACCTGAAGCCATTAGCACTGCCAGCAGCCGACGGAGCACTCGATAGCATGGACTGATGTTATCGATGACCAGTTATTAGTATGAATCTGCATATCCCCGGCACTAAGCCTTATGCCTGCCCGTGGGCATCCAATGACTAATCATTGACTAAACAACAGAGGTAAGAAATGGTTTAATACTTCTTTTAACACTCAGTGCACTTTCCCAAGCTTTTAAGGAACTTCTCTTACACCAGCACAAATTTACACAGAGAACAACATCCATCTGTTTGCGTTATCACCTTCACTTACTGTTAAGTAAATCAATGCATAAATAACTCAATAAATGAACTTTATGTGATGAAAGCAAAGCAATAATTCCTCTGGGACCCCTGCAGGATGCTTCTGTAGCGGGGGGGGGGGGGGGGGGGGGGGGGGGGGGGGGGGGGGGGGGGGGGGGGGGGGGGGGGGGGGGGGGGGGGGG